TTTCTGGTACTGGAGGTTTTCCTAGAGCTTTGGGCACTGGAAGCCCGTACTCCTACTAGGGCATCCTTGACTATTTTATAGAAGGAATTCAAACTGTCAAGAATTATAGCAGGTAAACACACACACATACTTTTAACATTCCATCTAACCCTCAATATTAACCTGCATAATAATTATGTAACCAAATATATAATGTATTTGGCTTATTATTTCTTTTCCTCAAAGTATGTGAGCATTTGGTATATAATGTCTGCTCATATAGAAATAGTTCATAACTGACACAAATTAAGTAGTAATTGTAACAAACAACTCTGTCTATTGTCCTGGCTAGTTTTATGTCAACTTAATACGAGCTAGAGTCATCTGAAAGGAGGGAACCTCAGTTGAAAAAAAAGTGCCTCCAACTATCCAGTTCTAAGTCATTTTTCTTAATTAGCGATTGATAGAGGAGGGCCCAACACATTGTGGGTAGTGCCATCACTGAGTACTATTAGAAAGCAGGCTGAGCAAACTATGAGGAGCGGCTCTGTCTCCAGATTCCTGCCCTGATTGAGTTCCTGTCCTGACTTCCTCCAGTAATGAACTGTGATGTGGAAGCATAAGTGGAATAAACCCTTCCCTCCTCAATATGATTTTTGGTCATGGTGTTTCATCACAGCAATGATAACTCTAACTTGGACATCTAATTTTTTCTTTCACATTTCATCTTTCTTTTTATTTTCTACCTTCCCCTTTCTCCTCCTTCTTTCCTTCTTTTCTTACTTTTCCTCTTCAGCACAGGGATTGAATCTAGGGTTTCACTCATGCTAGACAAGCTCTCTGATTCTGAGCTAGCACCCAAGCCTCAGGCCAAAGTTTTCAGAGTAATTTTCTGTATAACCAAAATATAAAAACTGTCATTCAGCACCTGATATGCATGTTTTGTAACTTATTGGTGGGGTCTGGAAAGAACAGGGGAGGAGTATCACCAGTTATTACACTAGTCAGAGGAAAGAATGAAGGCATTTTTGTTCCTGTCTTTGCCAAGATTATTGCTGAGGTGTTAATTGCTCCATTTCCCAAGTCTACTGTAATGTCAATATTAATATCTATATAACATAACCACACAGGAGTATGAGGTTAGAGATAACACAACGTGAGATCTGAGAAAAAATACCTATGGAAGCATAGTATATTATGACTAAGAAGTTTCCACAGTCTTTAAGTCCTCCAAAGGCCCCAGGGTTGGTTTGGTTTGGTGCCAGAATATGTCAGGTTGACAGCCAACAATCAAGGCTTATTTCACTTTTTTTTTTTAAATAGAAGTAAGCCTCCTGGCGTACTAAACCTGCATGTTACATCACCACACCACCACAGGGGTTTGATGAGCTACAATTGATTCAAGCCAGCACTCGATATGAAATGACAGCTGCTGGACTGATAAAGAAAGATCAGTCTTCTTTGCCTTGATAAAAGAAAAAAAAGGAGTAAGACTAATTAATTTCTCTCTCTTAACAAACTGAGTGACACTCTCTTAGCTTGGTCTTATTAACTTTCTGTCTATTTCGCTCTAAAAAATATTAGGAAATAATTAAGGAGAATAATGAAAATCTAAAATTACATAAACAGATTTTCCTGGCTGGTTTTCATTGTCAATTTGACCCAACCCAGAGTCACTGGGGAAGAGGGCATCTCATTTGAGGGATTGCACATGTCAGACTGGCCTGTGTGGCCTTGTCTGTGTGGAAGACTGCCTGATGACTGATGTGGGAGAGCCCTTTACCTTGTTAGTTCTTATTGTCAACTTGATGCAGCCAAGAGTCACCTGCGAAGAGGGCATTGCAACTGAGGAATTGCACAGGTCAGATTGACCTGTGGCCTTGCGTGTGAGAGACTTAAGATTGATGTGGGAGGCCCCAGTCCACCTAGGGTGGCACCATCCCTAGGCAGGTAGTTCTGGGCTTTATAAACAACAACAACAACAACAACAACAACCAGTGAACAAATTTGAGAATGAAAGAGCCAGTAGAAGCATTCATCTATCATTTACACTTCAGATTTTGCCTTAGTCCTGCCCAAACTTCCTCAATGTTTGTCTATGACCTGGGATTAGAAGCCCAAATAAACCTTTTGATGTTGTAAGTTGCTTTTGACCTGGACATTTATCACAGTCACAGAAGGTAAACAAAACATACATATATTATTCTCTTTACCACATTACGTGTGCAAGAAATAGATTTTCAAGTTTCTTATGATGAAAACAACTCAAAAATCACTGTCAACATTTCAGATAAGCTAAGAAAAGGGCACAGAGAAATGGTGGTGGTAAGAGAAGTAGAGATGAACACAATGGAGCTTGCTCTGGATGCCAAAGGATTACAGAGGTTTCCTTACATCAGTGTATTAAATAATGTAAAGAGCAGATGAACTCCAAGGTGGCTGTGTGTTGGTTTACATGAACATAGCCATAGTCAAGGACCCCAAGGCCTCAGAGTGATGGTAATGGCAATGCCTTCACATTGTCAGTGTGTGCATGTTGACAGTATGTGCAGAAAACGTCAACCACGGCTTCCTCCTCCCTACACAGATGTTCTATAGTCTGAGACCTCTCCCCCACAGAAAATTCTCAGCAAGTTATGTTAAACCTGCCACCTCCTTCAGTAGTTTATAATAACCTCAACTTCAACTTGGTATGCCAGACTTTGTTGACTCCCCAAGGAAGGCTTTAACCCTCTGAGGAGTGGATGGAGGGTAGGAAGGGGGATGGGAGAAGGGGAGGAAGGAGGAACTGGGGTTGGTATATAAAATGAAAAATACACTTTTTTTTTGGTTTTTTTCGAGACAGGGTTTCTCTGTGGCTTTGGAGGCTGTCCTGTCCAGCTCTTGTAGACCATCTGCCTGGAAGAAGACCTTGTGTGGATTCTTGGGAACATTGTAGCTGTTTCTGTGTTTTTTCTTACCTTGTAGTCTGGTTCTGAATTATGAGAGGAAAAAAAGTAATTATGATACATTGTAGTTTGTGTATGATGTATGTTGATAACGTTTTATTAAAGGGACATCTTTTTTCCGCAAAAAAAGTCCTGAAAAATACATTTTTATAATAATAATAATAATAATAATAATAATAATAATAATAATAATAAGAAGAAGAAGAAGAAGAAGAAGAAGAAGAAGAAGAAGAAGAAGAAGAAGAAGTTGAGTTTCTGGGCTGCTGCTGGTGTCTCCATTAATGAACACATGGCCCCCACCAGACTGCAGCCTCTCTGCATGTGTGCCTGTGGTCTTGCCATTTCCTCATTCCTTCTCTCCCCCAGTCAAGTCCATCCCTAAATCTGGGCAGAGCATGGCAACATGAAGCACTGGGGTTAATCCAACTTCATTCAAACTATTTATTCCCATAAAAATAATACACTTTTATTTATTGGTATTCACTTGCGAAGATCGTTACTTTTCTCTCTAGACAAGGGTTTTGTACTTCACAGTATCCTTTGCTTTCAGGTGTGGCAACCACACACTCCCTACTTCACATCTCTTCACACCACATCTCCCTATAGGGCTGGAGACACAATCAGTGGGTAAAAGCAACTGGCCACCCAAGCCAGGTGACTTTATTGCAGAGCCCCGGGAACCACATAACTGCCAGATGGAGTAGCACAAATGTCCATTATTCCAGTTTGTTCCTATAGGAAGGAGGGAGGCAAGATAAAGAGTCCTCTTAAGCTCACAGGTCAGTGAACCTGCACCTGTAGTGGCAGAGACCCTGTCTCAAACAAGGTAGAAAGACGAAGACCAACACCCAAAAGTTGTTGGTCTTCCACACATGTGTTGCATTATTTGTGTGCCCACGCACACACATTTTACACACACACACACACACACACACACACACACACACGTTATTTATGTTTTAAGTGACTGCATGCTTGAAAGAATAACAAACCCTGTCTTTTCTTTGGAACCTTGAGTTTATTAAAGTTACTCATATAAATTCTACCATCCTTGGCAGTGATAATGTTTTGGAAAAGACATGTTAAATTTTACTGCTGGTGGTTTTCAAAAGAGAAGCCTTCCAAGGGAGACTTCCACTTCTTCTACTTGATGTAGTAGTGTCCACATGGAGGAGATGGTGTATAGACACATCCAGTGAGCAGGCAAAAGCATTATGGCACTGCTAAGCAAAAAGTGGGAAAAATGGCTCCACTGACCATTATAGACAAAGTCAGTCTATAGGACATTGTAGAACTGCCCACTGTGACAGTTAATACTGATTGAAGGTTTAATAGGATTTAGAATCTCCATGAAAACAGACCTCATAAGTATGGTTCTGAGGGAACTTCTAGATTAGATTAACAGAAGTGGGAGACTCACCCTAACTTGGGGCAGCAATCATTCGGTGGGTTGAGGTCCCGAACCTAATAAAAAGGAGAAGGCAGAAAGTGAGCCTAGTATGGGCATTTATCTTCCTGACTGCTGATGTCATGTGACAAGCCATCCAAAGCCCCCCACTTCCATGACGGACCACACTGTTGAATTGTGAGCCAAAATAAACACTTCCTTCTTTCAATCGCTTTTGTCGGGTGACTTGTCCCAATAATGCATAAATCCATGAGTGCATCTGCCTGTGTGCTTCTAGCTATGTGGTTATCAGATACATTTCACTAGAGTTTCTGTTTCTTAAAACAGAGTATTCTAAGTGGCATATAACATATGAGGGCTGAGAAAGGCAGATTTAATGGAGGTCAGACTCCACATCAGAAATTCTGCATCCCTAATTTTATTGTTTTCATAAGAATGCTGGGAGAGTCATGTGTTCCACATTTAAGCCAGGTTTTACTCAAAAGTCTGGAGGTTCCTGCACCTCTACATGGAATTAGGAATCCTTACCTAAATTAGAATGAGTCACTAAGTGTTATTTCTAGCCTTCACTAATATTAGCTCCTGGACATAAAATTGTTCTCTGATGAATATCAAATTTCTGTGGGGCAATGTAGAGCTATATGGATGGGCCATGAAACCAGGCAGAATGTTCAAACTTCAGCACATTTATTGACCAGGTGAACTAAAACATTACTTAGATAGCAGAGTGTGCATTACCACCAATAAAATACAATAATGGTATCTACCTGCAAATGGATATTTCAAGTAGTACATTAGATAATGCCTAAAATCATCTAGCAAATACCAGTGATAATTTAGTCAGGTCACAAATATGCCCTGCTCATAAAATTTTGCTACTGCAAAATACACAGTCAATTTTTTAAAAAATCACATCTTAGGATTTTAGGAGTAGAGGAGACTGCAAGGATATGTTTCTATGCTATCCCTGCATCAGGAGGGGAGAGCCCATAATTTTGAAAATATAGCTCAGAGCAATATATATAAGTATATAAATGACCTTCTTTTGAGTAACTACTAGAAAGCTAAACAGAAAAATTTATATCCCCCAGGAAACTTAGGATAAAAGTTACTTATCATGAAGGAGTAGTTAAGTAAACACTGCCACACAGCTGCTTGAGGGAAGGAAGGCAAGTAAGATTAGTTAAAAATAGATGAGTGGGATAGTTATCCTTACATTTGTCCTGCTGCATGGTACTTCTTCAGTGTTGTGTAGTTAGAGGACACTGAACTTGGAATTTTAGAAAAACACAACTGGGATCCAGTCCCTTCTCCATTATTTATTTTTCCTGTAACAAGGGGCAAGAAGGTTGTCGTCTTTAAATCTCAGCTTAATCTTTAAAAGAGAGTGACACTTAGTCCCGTGCCTCTCTTACAGACTGCTTCTTAGAAAGCATAGCATTTTATATAATATAATATTCAGTATGTGTGTAAGGGAAATGAAAATGTTGATGATCACAAAGGGCAGAAGCCCCAAATTCTGCATTCTGTAACATGTCCTTTATGGTTGTTTCCTTGAGATGTATATTCATTGATGATTTTCTAGTGTCAGGAGCCACTCAGAAAGCTCACAGAATAGCAGGGTGCAGGCTGTGAATGGCTGTAGATTCAAGCAGGGTCCTTTGATGATGATGATCTTTGAAGGTTTTCCATCTCTGGAGAGCCACACTCTGCTCACTGCAGCTGATGGAGTAACGCTTCAGGCTTAGCTTGTGATCCTCGGCTGGAGTCACAGTTGAAAACCACTCAATCAAGAAACCAATCAGTCTGTCTAGAAAATAAATGGGTTAGAGAAGAAATGCCAAGATGACTCAGACTCGATTCTGAAAGTATTTTTAATGGGGGCATTGATTAGGCCTCCACTGAATATTTACTAAAAATAAAAAATAATATTGGCACTACTCTTTGTGGACTCTCTTCCAGATAGCTGTGACGTCTGAGAAGCACTTGGAACAGTGCATACAAAAACCATAACTATCAGCATCATGCTTACCTATGATTGCTTCTCTATTTCCACAAAAGCCTTAAGCAAATGGTTCTTCAGGAAGCCAGAATGCACTGGAAATCAGTAAACCAGGTACCAACACTCTATTTTATTTTTATAACTGTCAGTTTCTGTTCAAGTCCAGAATCCCTTTTGCTCATAGAAAGTGTGCTGGTCATGGTCCCAGGCAAATAAAAATAACAAATGACTACAAATTCAGTTCAACACAAAATGGGAAGAGGCTGCACAGAAAGCTAAGATAACCACTGATTTGCATAACTACAAACTCTATACAAGAATAAAACCCAGCTAGGAGTAAGAGGACTATATACTAGTCCCAGGGGAAAATGTGAGAAAGACCATGTCCAGGGAGTACCAGGGAGAAGATTAGAAACACTGGCCTCTTCCTCCGTCTCGCTTTTGTAGGCAAGCATCTCAAAACACTAAGGTGTGCTACCTTGCTTGGCTGTCCTTCTGTTTACTGAAAACTTTAACATGGTTGATTGAAGTATGAAAGGGCTAAACCAGTTTGAGGATATTACCACAGTATGCAACTAGCTTATAGAAAATATAAACGCTTTTCAAGTAAGGGACAAGCTGTTTTACTGTACCACTCTATTATCCTACCTAGGGTGAACATGTTTTCATGTAATTTCACATAGAGAGGCATGTCTTGTTTATCAACCTAACAGTTACAAAATTATAAATGACTACACTCCTAACCTGAGTTTTCCTGGATAGCAAATCAAACGCCTTCTTTCCATGTGTTCTCCATTCTTCTCATGTGTGTTTATGATACTTATCCTTTCCTATATGGTTGTCTTTTTCAGACTGACTGGCATAAAACTAACGTTTTGTTCTGTTCATTTGATGTGCTATGAATTTCATCTTACATTTTCTTGGAGATTTTTTTTCTACATTTAAGTGACTTTAATGAGCAAATCCCCTTGTCAATACAAGCAACAACTTTCTTCAAAGTTAATATTTTCTGTTTCTTATTTAAAGAATCCTTCCTTATCCAGAAGACAAGATATTCTAGCATTTTCCCCTAAAAGTTTTAAATAGTAACATTTAAGAGCTTAATGCATGTAGAATTGATTTTTAAGCATGTTGTGGTCCCCTTCATTTTATAATCCATGCTTTTCCATTTTTAAGTATGTATATATCTATATCTATGTGTGGATGGCATGTGAGTGAGTGCATGCAGAGGCAAGAAGGGGGCATCAGATCCTGTGGAGCTAGAGTTACAGGTGGTTATGAGCTGCCCATGAGTGCTGGGAACCAAACTCAGGTCCTCTGTAAAAGCACTGATGCTGTTAGCAGCTGAGCCATTCTCCAGTGTAACCCATGAATTTTTTAATTATGATACAGTTTTTCAAAGAATCTCAGGTCACATCTAACTTGAACAGTTTCATGTTTCCTAGCTTTACCTCACAGCATTTGAATAACTGCAACTTTCTTCTTGAAAGTGTCTTTTATTTTCTCAGTTATGTTGTTCTTCCTCTACCTTGCAATTTTCAGTCTTATAGCCTTCATTGTGTCCTTTCCTGGCCTCCTAAATGGTCTATCTTCAGCTACTCCTCTCCTTATTTAGTCATTCCCTTTGCCCTTTGTATATTCCTACACCCATTCTTAGACACCAGTGTTCTTAATATACATACACACAGTAACTTTGCTACCTGAGTTATTTTCCCCTACAATGACACATTTTGAATATTCTTTTTTTTTTCTTTTTTACTGGATAGTCTCTAACATTCCTGATCTGGACTAAATCTGAATATTGTCTGAAAATACGTCATCAGCCATCTCAGGTCATTCTGTTCCTTTTTTTTCTAACTTCATAACTACTATAGGCTCTGTAGAAAGCTGACATCACCCTTACTTTTCACTATCATTTCCAGACTAACTATCCCACAAATATAAAATACCATGAACCTTTGAAGAGTGTACATTAGTCTGCTGTATGAACCCATATTCTCATTGTAGCATTATTCAGATTTTCTCACCCTTTCTCCTTTTGTATTAGTGAGGCTTCTCTAGAGGTGTGGTTTACATAATAGGGTCTGGGTTGTCCAACAATGTCTGTCTTCATGTTGGAGAGGCCAAAACCCCAGTAGCCATTCAGTCCTTAAGACTGGGTGCCTCAGCAGGCCCAAACTGGTATGAGATCATGGAGGACTCCTGGAGAGCCTCTGGTCTTCAGGGTACACTAGAATTCTGAAGAAACAGTATATTGCTATTAGTGAGAACATGTAGCAACAACTGTGGTGGTGGTGAGGGGGCAGAAAGAAGGTAGATGGACTTCTTCGTAGGATAAGAAGGCAGTGAGGCCCAAAGCAAACCTTTTCCTTTTCTTCAGACTGCTACAAGAAGGTGATGCTCACAGTTGAGGTAGGTTTGCCCACTTCAAATGGTTTGAACAATAAAACCCTCCACCACAGTTATACTCATTGGGCTATCTGTTAGCTGACTCCACATCCAGTCAAGTTGAAATCAAGATTAATCACCATGCCCTTCGTTGGCAGTTTTAATATCTGGTACATTGTCCTTCTCCTTACCACAAGTTCTTTCATCATTGAGGGTGTCACCTGTCTACTGGCTATGCTTTGAATGTTCTTGTCCCCACTCGCAACTCATCTGTTGGAAACCCTAATCTTAAAATGAAGTTATTAAGAGGTAGGTTAAATCAGGGAGGTTGTTAGATCATGAGGGAGAATGCTTCATTCCTGGTATGAATGCTGTAATTAAAGAAGGCTAGGAGAGACTTCCTATTTCTTCCACCATCACAAACATAGCTAGAAGAGGCTATCCATGTGAAAGAAGTTATCCCTTACCAGACACTGGACATACATATATCTTGATTATGGGATATTGTACCCTTTCCTCACTCTGGTATATGCAGTATGTTCTAGCGCTTGGTTTCCCTGTTACAATTTTAAAATGCAATGTGTCAGCCATTTCAGTCTCAATTCCCCTTGACAAATGTATAGGGTGGCACAAATAAGTCACGTTCAGTCTCTACTGCATGGGTAGTGGTGGACAAGTGGTGTTTGTGGCTGCACCCAGGCACATAGTCATCCTTTGTCCTGAAAATAAAATCGAAGTTCTTTTAAAAAATGGAGTTTCTAAAGGCAAGGTACAGCCTGAAAACCATTGCTTTGCATGATATAAAGTAACTTATAGCAAGACACAGCCTGATCTCAATAATCCCAAATACTTTGAACTCAGAAGTAAATTCATCAACTCCATCTATATTTAGTTTAAGCATAAAGATTATTTATTCTATTAGAATGGTTGACCTAATCCCAGAACAAAAATGGTGCTACAATACATTCTCACAGCTGTCAGTACCTTCTATAACACCATGCCACATTTACTATTGTTGCTTTTGGCTATTTTCCAACTGAACCTAAGCATTAAGAAGATAGCAACATCTGTATTGTTAATAACAGAAAGCAAATGCTGATGAGTACAAGGAATGGTATAGAGTAAGAACCTAATAAACATATGTTTAGCAAATCACTATCAAAACTGAATATGACAATGGCACCATTGTGTCTTAGTTTAAGACCAAAAATAGCTATCCTCCATATAGGCCCACCTTTTCCAGGAATAAACTCCAGAGCCTGCACATTTACACACAGTCATTTTGTCAAACCCATACCATCTGTGTCTTCTGCTCTTAGGGTATTGTCTTTCTTTCTTCCTACTCATCCTTCAAGCCTCATCTGAAGAGTAACCATTACTGTAAAGGTCCTTTGTAATGCCCCTGGAATATTTAGAGATCTTCCCTTATTCACAAATAATCCTGAGCATATGTCAACCATAACTTGTTAACTCATGACAACTATCCTAAATTTATTTGTATTCTCATAAACCTATAAGCTTCCTAAGAAATAACTTTTGGAGTATTTTGCTTTGATACAATGCCTAGCAAAGTGCCTGAAAAAACTACAGTCCCAACATGTATTGGGGTGGGTACTAGGGAGTTTTCTCAGTAGGTATAGTGTTCATGATGAAAATGTGAAGACCTGAGTTCAAATCCCCAAAACCTACACAAATCCAGGCATAAATATCATATTGTACATATGATTCCATGGCTCCTACTTTGAGATGGGAGAAATAGGAGAATCCCTAGAAGCTCAGGGGACAAGTCTAGAATACACAACAGAAAAATAGCAATAAGGTACTACCCCAAACAAGATGGAAGAAGACCAACACTGAGGTTCTCTTCTGGCCTCCACATATAGGTTACACCATGTATGTTGCCCGCAACACACTCACATAAACATTACACAAACACACACACACACACACACACACACACACACACACACACCACTTATATCTTATGCACTTCAACACTAACATCAAGTTATCACAACAAGCAATTTATTAAGAATTAGATAAAATTTTGGCTGAAGGTGAATATGAAATTTGAAGATATTACAGAGATTTAGTCTGGAAACAGGGCATCTTTCCTTGGTATGCATAGGTGATCAACAGAGGTGCTTTCCTCATTGTATTGCTATGAACTGATTTCTGGGTTTTCTCAATTAGATGATTTAGATGATGACATGAATTAACATTAAAATTAAAATTCATAAAGCACTTGAAGCAAGATGGGCTATGTAGATGCTTGTCATAATACAAGTCATTAATTTTATTAATTCACTAGGCAAAATTCAGGTGCAAATCTAAGTGTTAAAATGTATGCTTTGGGATTGGAGAAATGGCTGAGTGGTTAAGAGCACTGCCTGACCTTCCAAAGGTCCTGAATTCAATTACCAGCACCCACATGGTGGATCACAACCATCTGTAATGAAATGGAAAGCCCTCTTCTGGCCTGTAGGCATACATACATGCAAGCAGAACATTGTTTACATATTAAATAAATCTTTAAAAAAGTATGCTTTGATTCAACACAAAAATGATTGTATAACAGCTTATTCAGTGGAACATGGAAATAGCAATAGCTAACACTACAGTAGTAAACATTACCCAAGTGCAAGTTAAATCATCCAACCTAGCATTTGCTCTCTCTATTCTCGAAAGGAATCCAGGTTTCTTTTAATACAAAGATGCTCAGATTCTATGAAACTTTGGCAATAGGCTATTATTAGCATACTGTCATTGGACATAACATCTGTATTTAGGAACCTCAAATGCCTTTCTTCTTAAGCTTTCTTCTCTTTCAGAGTCAAGAAACTAATGATCCACTTAGAAAGAAAGAGAAGATTTATCTTTAACTTTCTGTGTCTCTTCAAACTAGGTAACAATGTTAACCATTCGACTGAAGAAGAATCTTCTCAGGGGAATTAGGAACATAAGAGTTAGAGCATGGACACTGAGGTCATCTCTACTGATGTCACTCCTTGGCTGAGAAGCCCTCCGGGCCTCATGTTCCAGATAACACATGCTACAGTGGCATATGTTTGTGACTTAGACTACTATGAGCATATGTGGGAGAACTCTGGAAAAAAATAAAATTCAAAAACATGAGAACACATAAGAAAGTTTTGAATTCACATTTATCTTATGAAAGTCGATCTGCCTTATAAGGAAAAGCTAAAGATAATTACTGAAGCTCAGCTCGGAAGACTCTGTGGGAAAAAAGTACTGCTTTCTCTACTTTTTCTAGTTTCTCATGCCATCTAGCGTCCTCACCTCCATCACCTTCCACCAGTTGTATCTCCAATAAAGGAGATCAGGGATCCATGGAAGTCATCGTTGTCGTCGTCTTCTTCTCCTTCTCCTTCTCCTTCTCCTTCTCCTCCTTTTTCTTCTTTCTCTTCTTCTTCTCCTCCTGCTTCTCCCTCTTCTTCCTCTTGCTCTTCATCATCATCTTTTTTTTCTTCACAAAATTATTATAAAAGTTTGTTCTTATCTCAAAGTTTTTATTTCTTCTACCTGAATTTCTGGTTGCAAAAATCTGAGACTTAAAAAAGAACAAACTGATATAGAAACAAAATTAATAGCTGAAGCAGAAATGCCACTTTGAAGCTTTCCTAGCAACATTAGTGCAAAGAATGGAATTCCACAATGTAATTTCCAAATTGTAGGTCTTACTGCATTTTTCTTTATCTTTCTTTAAAAGTGAAGTATAAGGAAAGGTAAAATCCTTATTTGCAACAAAATTAGTCTCTCCCTAAATTACTTCGAGAAGTTGTAGTCTAGAATGGCAACCTTACTCATTTTATCATACAGCTTTTCAAATTGATCAACATTCTTTGTTTTCTTTTGTCATATGCCAGTTAAACTTTTCTCTTTAGAACACACAGTTTAGAATGTATTTAGAAGTTTTAAACTATCATTGTCCTGAAATTTGGAAAAACGCCCCTGAAATGACCAGGTAAGGAAGGAAATCTAACCTACTGAAGCAACAGAGGTAACATGAAAACAAGAAGGACCCAACTGACGTCAGTACCACTTGGGAGGCAGATAAAGAGGCCGTCTTGGAAGTTCCAGCTGACTCTAGCGTGCTCTAATATGCTAGTGTATTTAGAATAATTTATGCTTCTCACCTTCCTAGTTCTGGAGAAAGTATGAATAGTGGAATTGGAACCTGAAATGATTCCTACTTGTCCTAATTCACTACTGTAAGGCTAAGATGCCTTGTTGTTAGTGTTTTTAGTCTTGAGTGTGAATCTTAGTCATTAGATAATATATAACTTGGTTATTTGGGGATGAACTACTATTTCTGGACCCATGTTTTTAAAGTGTAAGCCCATTCAGGATGTAGAAGGATGGATGTTCATGGTTTACTAGCCAGGAACTTCTCTGCTGTGGGATGGAAGTTCGGGGATTCTGCTTGTTGAGTCTCTGCCTATTGTTTCCAATAATGACAGGCCTGTGGTCTGCTCTCATCTTTCTGGCCCCTGCTTAGGAAGAAGGAGCAGTTCTGGCAGAATGCCTCTGCAGCTTTTGGAAGTGACACAATGTGAGTGCAGCTATAAGCAATGAAACAGTAGGGTCTCAGCATTATTTTAAATACATTCCCCACTTTCCAGTGGTCATACTGTGTTCAAAGATAAGGAGAGAGCTATTGCCCCTAGGGACAAGTGACAATTGTGTGATGTGTGTATTTTATCTACCTAGCAACTGTTTCAGAACGAAAGTCAAGGATTTTGTAAGTACAGAAGTGCTGTTTGTCAGCTGATTCAAAAATGAAAGATAACAACGATGTGGTCTAGTGGTTTGTACATACATTTCAGTGTCAGCAGTTTTGACTTATAATCGTCTTCAACTGTCTTTCTGGTTGGCTCAGATTATTAAAAAAAATAACCTAACTTCTCTCTCATTGTCCCCTACCTATAAAATAGAAGAAAGTGTTCTTACTGCACAGAGACTTTTAATTTTTGACAAGGGATATTTCTAGTTACTCTGGAAACAAACAAAGTAAAGATCATACATGTGTACACAGATGCATAGACACAGTTTTATACTCTCAAGTTTCTTTCACTTCCTTCCACATCTTAGGAAAAAGTTAAGGTGTGAGCAAGGATACTCTCAGATTTTCTCTTTCCATTTTAAAGGTGTCTTATTCCTAGTTTAACAGCATAGGGAAAGATTAGTTCAAGGCTCCCATGCTAGGTAGTGATTCAAACTCCTCGGGTTAACAGCGACATCTCACAGAGTCTTGGAGAGTTTTCAAAGCTCCCATTTCTTTTAATTAGCTCCCTGTTTGCCTTGGGCAGCAACTTCAGGGAATCCATAGGACATAGACACACAAATTAATAATATACATTGAACATAAAAAACTTAAAAATGTAACCAGCACATGGCTCTAAATGCCTTTCTGCATGTTTTGGATGTTATGTAGTATAATAAATGATACAGCATTGTTTATGACAAAACAAAACGTCTGAACTAAAAGAAATCAATTATCCAGGTATGGTGACACACATCTTTAATCCCAGCATTTGTGAAACAGAGGCAGGCAGATCTCCGAGTTCAACGCCAGCCTGGTCTACATAGTGAGTCAAGGCTGCATAGTGAGACCCTGTCTCAACTCCACCCCCATCACTCCCCCCCCCACACACACACACGTGCACAAAGGAAGAAGAAGAAGAGAGAAATGAATTGCATGCATAAAACTAGGAAGAAGGAATGCATATGTGTGAAGAGAAAGCATTTGATAAAATAATGATTGGGAAACTAAAGAAACATTACTATTTGGAGTTTGAGATGCAGATTTGGAGATGTAAGCTCATTTCATTCAACAACAACAACAAAAATATACAAAATCCTGGGCATTGTTCCACTCTCCTCAAGGTGGAGACAAAACATCTAAACTCTCTACCTTCCTATTTTTAAACCCTCACTCTTGGAAAAACTTTTATTTTGATTTCCTGCTTCGGTTTTCTCAAGGATGGGGCAAAGATACCCTCATTATGCTTTAGGCCTGATACACACATAGGATTTGCATCTCTTGGCCATCATTCTACTGTCAATATTTTCCTGGTATATCTGAGACCAAAACAAGTGTAACTAATACTTAAACCAGAATATTAAACATGTAAAAATATCCTATGCTCTTTTCCTCTCCTTCAACACAAGACATGAACTATCTCTTAACCATTGATGAAACACTACAATAGCTAGAGTTAATCTTTGATGCAAATATATTTGAGATACATATATGACAGGTCAAATGCTTCTCTGAAGACTTCTAACCTCTAAGCAGATATTTTTGATCTGTGGATCTTGAATCCTTTGGAGGTTGAACAACCCTTTCACAGAGGTCAAATATCAGATATGTGTCTTATCAGATATTTATATTATGATTTGTAACAGCAGCAAAATTACAATTACGAAGTAGCAATAATATTAATTGTATGGTTGAGGATCACCACAACTGAAGAACTGTATTAAAGGGTGGTTGAGAACCACTGTTCTAGAGTGCATGGCTATAAACCAAATGGACCAGTCACTGGTGTTGACAAATTAATATTTATTCTAACTTACAGGCAGCTTCGTTATTCTTTTCAGGATTGGCAAGATAGGGTTTTCATATTGTCCTTGTCAGTTTGTAATGTCAACTTGACACACCTGGGAAGAAGGAACCTCACCTGATGAATTGTCTGCATGGGATTGGCCTTTGGGCTATTGTCTTGATTGCTAATTGGCAAAGGAGGACTCTGGTCACTGTGGGAACAGCCATCTCTTGGGCAGGTGGTCTGAGCTGTATAAAAAAAGCACTGAATGTAGACCAGGGAGCAAACCAATAAGCATCCTTCTTTGGTTGGCTGTGCTTCAGTTCCTGTCCGCAGTTTCTTGCCTCAGCTTCCCTTGGTGAGAGACTATGAGATACAAGATGAAATAAACTCTTTCCTCACCTAAGGTTTTTTTTTTTTGGTCATTATTTTATCACAGCAACAGAGAAGCAAACTAGAATAGAAATGGGTACTGAGAATGCAAGAGTGGGATATCGCTATGACAGACAGGCCTGTCTTGTATTGGGAATGATTGTGGAAGATTTCAGAACTTTGCAAGGGAAAAGCCAGTGAGTGCTCAGAGCTTATTCAGCTATTGTTATGGGAGTTTGAAAGATCAGAATACCTAGAAAGCAAAGGATGGTGGCCTTATTTGTGAAGTTTCAACAGAAAGTTTGAGCATTCTCACAGGACTATCAGGGCTATTTCTGTGATTCATTTGAATTAAAAATCATTGGAAGCAAAACCTTGTGGGCTGCAGTGGATGCTGGATGGCGGAGCTGAAAAATCAGACCTGATTAAGAAAGACCAGATCATTGAAATGAAATCCTCCAGGGAATATTTCCTCAGCATCAGCACCCAGAAGCTGTGGGCTAGAGGGGACCAAGGATGCATCTTAAAATGCCAGCTGAACTTATCAATGTGTAACAGTTGTTTTGAAAACATGAAGGGGCCATGGAGAATACCTGGGCTTGAAACTATGTGACAGGTTTGGAAAGGAGGCCAGAAGAAGCCATTGGTGAAGGTTCAGTCTTATTTGCCAAAGAGAGTCCACATGTTGGAGATGCTAGGACTGTGGGGTGTTCATCAAGAATAACAATTGTGTGTGGGGTAGAGCTGACATGAGCCTATGAGACAAGTTGTATGTATTGCTGAGAGCAGAACTGGAGAAATGGGAGTGCCTTTGGAGTGCAGAAGAGTATGAGTGAGTCCCAGATGTCAGACACTAAGCTTTTCCCACAGTCAGTTTTTGGTTTTTGCTTTGATCTGATTATAACTTTGACTAGGTTCTTTCTCTTGGAATAAGAAAAATATGTAATTCATTTTGGATTTTATAGACACTTTACAAATAGATTTTTTGATTTTTAAGGAGAAGTTGGATTTTTAAACTGTTGGAATTCTTTTAATTTTTGTGTTGGACTTTTAAATTTGCATTAACACAAGATTTGGGGGATAAACAAGAAAGGAAAGGTTACAGCTAAGGTGATATGTTTGTGTGTCAAGTTACAGTTGACAAAGCATGAAGTGTCCTAATTATTTCTGTTGTAAACTTGAAATAACTCAGAAAAGGGAACCTTAACTAAAGAATTGCCTCAGTTGAAATTGCTTGCCTGTGTGCCCTTGAGGCACTTTCTGGGTGGCTTATTGATATATGTTGTTGCAGCACACTTGGGGTGGTGATATCTCTGGGCCTGGGCAGTATGAAAAAGGTAGGTGAACATGAACCTGGGTGCAAGCCACTAAGCACATCCCTCTGCATTATCTGCTCCAGCTTCTGCCTCCAGTTCCTGCCCTGAGTTCTTGCCTTGGCTGCCCTTAATGATGAAGTATAAACTGTAAGATGACATAAACCCATTCCCCCTACCAGTTGCTTTTGGTCAGTGCTTTGTCACAGTAACAGAGAAGGAAATTAGAACATATATCTACAAATTTGAGCATCAGATTCTACAATCTGATAAATTCACACAGGCAATATGCTATTTTTTTTAAATTTCCTTTTATGTCTGTAG